GTGTGGTGGTGCACACCTGTAATCTCAGTTACTCGGAATGCTGAGGCAGAAGAATCGCTTGAAGCCAGGAGATGGAGGTTGCAGTGAGCTGAGATTGTGCCACTGCACTCCAGCCTGGGCGACAGAGTAAGACTTCGTCTCAAAAATAATAAGAAGAATAAAAAATAAAATAAAGTAAAATAAAACAAAATAAAATGTTGTTCTAAAATTTAAAACACTGTTCTTTTGAATATTGCCTTACTGCTATATTTAAAGATTGCTGCTGCCTTTAAACTATCACTGGTTATTTTGTAAAGGTCTAGAGTAGACTATTAGTAGATTTAAGAACCAATTCTGCAGCATTACTATTGGTAGTGGTCTACCTGAAGTCTCAGCCTGTTTTGCCAGCCCTTTCAGAAAGAGGTCCAACAAAGATGCCGCTGCGGTACTGTGCGCTGCTGACAATGCCAGCACACTGCCATCAGAACCCAAAGGCTGAGTAGGTGTGTCCAGATGGCAGAACTCTATTATAAGAGAGGCTGACAAAATAAGTCTGTGGCATTTTCAGCTTCTGTAGAGAGAGGAGTCTCTGCCTCAAAACCAAAACTGAAAAATGAGGAACTCCCCGTACAAAGGAAGGGGGCTAAGATTTGTACTGTTTAAAAAGATCGATAAGTTTTCACTATGATACATAATAAATTCTATGATGAAAGATACACACAGGGTGCTGAGAGGAACTGAAATGGGTTTCCAAAGGGATCATAAAGGTCACATATAAACCTTTGATATCAACAGAATACAAAATTACAACCTTACCTTGTAATAACGAAAATAGTCTCTCTCTTGCAATTTTTTTATTTTGGGGAAGATTTTGTAGGTATTGAAGTTATCGATGCTGTCAATGTCACACAAGCAATCATCCAGAACTCCAGTGACCTAGAATTTATATAATTTAAAATATGTAAACTACTGATGTTTCAACCTTATAAATGTAATTTATTCGTTCAAATTAGCCAGTACTTGCTGATTAAGATATAATATTAAAGCAGTCAATTTACTTTTTACTGTGGCCAATGAAATAAAAAAACAATAGAAAGATCAGCTATACCCATTTGGAAGAACATTTTTCTTTAGCACTTGAAGATTATTGAATTCTCCTTCCTCTACTTAAACATATATGAAATCCAAGTGGCCACTGGAATATGAAGGCAATATCTTCCCAACCTAACCTAGAAGTTACAGACTGTAATAATATTGATGTAGTAACCCATGTCTTTTATCTTTCCTTTAGGCGGCCATTTATGGAACGCTTACATGATAGGCAGAGTATTAAGAGCTTTATATTATCTCATTTCCTCTTCAAAAGTATTCCATGAATGAGGTATTATAATCTTCATATTACATATAAGGAAATTAAGGTTTAGCAGCCTTATAGTAATTTTTCCAGAGTAGAAATGGAACTTATTCCCAATCTATCAGACTTTATGATCTTATCCACTATTCAAAGATTATTTGTTAATCCAAGAAGAGAAATTGGTATTTCCGAAGTGAATTTAGAGTCCCAAAATTCCATAAAACAATCTTTGGCTAAATTAAAAATGGAACTCATTGACTGATATGCACAATCTGGATTTATCTTCCAGGAATTATCCTGAATGAAAAAGCAAGCCAAAAGGTTACACGCTATATGATTCCATTTACAGGACACTTTTTAAATGAAAAAAATTTAGAAATGGAAAGCATATTATTTGTTGCCAGGGATTAGGGACTGGGGTAGGGGATGGAAGGTGGGATAGGTAGGGTAGGAAGGAAATAGTGTGGTTGTAAAAGGGCAACAGGAGGAATATCTGTGGTGACGAAACTGTTCAGTATTTTGACTGTGATGGTGAATACATGAACTTATGTATGTGATAAGATTGTCTGGCACTAATACATACACACACAAACAAAACAAGTAAAACTGGGAGAATCTGAGTAAGACCAGTAGATTCTATCACTGTCAATGTCCCAGTTATAACACTGAACTACATGTTTACAGGATATTACCACTGGGATAAACAGATAAAGAGTATATGGGATTTCTGTGTTATTTCTTGCAACTGCATATGAACTTACGACTAAAATTTTCAAAAAACAAAAAATGGGTCTCAGCCTGTTAAAGGTTATTTATATGGTCCATAGGAGGAATATATGCAAGTAGTGGTCAGAAAATGGAAACCGGTCCTTGCAAGCTGTTTCATTCTCATTCTCCCTCCCTAGGAATATAAATGTGTCCCCAGACTCCCTTCAACAGAGTTAGGGCTATATTATCTTGAGATAAGTGATCATTATCAGAATTTTGGCTCTAGAGTTATATTTATTTTGCTGTCCGACTCACTAGGATCCTATCACTAACTCCCAAATTTCATTCCATTGCTCTCGCTTACTACTTACAAGACAGCGAGTTCTATTTTTTTTCTTTCCGCTCCCCCGCAGTCTGAAATATGTTTGTAAAGACTTCAAATGCTAGCCCCTAAACAGGAAAAAAATACAAACCAAAAAGCTCTCTAGGTTTTAAAAATATTTTATCTACTGATATATATATAATATATACATATAATTATATATATATATAATTAAATAACGAAGTAAATACTGCCAGTATCCTTTAAGCTCCTCTTTAATTACATCTATCTCCCTTTCCCTAAAGGCAGAAATAAATCATTTTTGTTATCAATTTTTCTTTTTCTGGTAATGCATCCCTAAACAATACGCTTGAGTTTTTTTATTTCTTATAAATTTTTCTTAAATTGTTGACTTTATAAAGCACCATATTTTACTTCTTTAAAACATTTTAATTGTGGTAGGGGATGGGTTCACAAAGTTGACATGTACATATTTATAACCTTTAAAAGACTACTGAGACAGAAACCTGTGTGTCACTAAAAGCTTCTAAATACTGCCAGTATCATATTAAAAAGTAAAACAGAAAAACAGAAGTTGGCAAGGATGTGGAAAAAAGGGAATGCTTATATACTGTTAGTGGGGCTGTAAATTAGTTCAACACCTATGAAAAACAATATGGAGATTTATCAAAGAACTAAAAGTAGAACCATCATTTGACCCGGCAATCCCACTACCGGGTATCTACCCAAAGGATATCATTATATCAAAAAGACACCTGCACTTGAATGTTTATCATTGCACTATTCATAGTAGTGAAGTCATGCAATCATCATGTAGGCAAGTGCCCATCAACGGTGGATGGAATAAAGAAAATGTGGTCCATGTACACCACGGAATACCAAGTAGCCATTAAAAAAAAAGAAATCATGTCCTTTGCAGCAACATGGATGCAGCTGGAGGCCATTACCCTAAGTGAATTAATGCAAAAGCAGAAAATCAAATACTGCATGTTCTCGCTTATAAGTGGGAGCGAACAGTGAGTATACACGAACACAAGGAAGGAAACAACACTGGGGACCCCAAAAGGTGAGGAGAGAGGGGGACAAGAGCTGAAAAATTCCCTATACCCATATAACAAACCTGCACAAGTACCCCCTGAATCTTAGGAAAAAAATAAAAAATAGAAATAAACAGTGCCAGTATCCTTTAAGCTCCTCTTTAATTACATCTACCTCCCTCTCCGTAAAGGTAGAAATAAATCTTATTTTTGTTATCAACTTTTCCTTTTCTGGTAATGCATCCCTAAACAATGTGCTTGAGGTTTCTGGCCCCCATTTCTGAACTTTAATGTTAATGGAATCTAATGTGTGAATTTTTCTGGGATGTGCCTCTTTGGCTAACACTTTATTATGGCATCTCTGATGATGAAGTCTGTAGTACCTCATTCATTTTCCCTGTTGCAAGTGTTACATTTTATTAGAATATCATAATTTCTCCATTCTACTCTTGATGCATACAGTAGACAGAATGCCCCACCCCCAAGATGTCCCTAATTCCTGAAATATGCAAATATATTATTTTTGCATGGCAAAGGGGACTTGAAAGATGAGATGAATTTAAGGATCTTGAGATGGAAAGACTATAGTGGATTATTCAGGTGAGACGAGTATAGTTCCAAAGTTCTTCATGAGAGAGGAAGGCGGGAGTGCCAGAATCAGAGAGGAACTGGAAAATGCCATACTGCTGGCTCTGAAGATGAAGGAATAAAGAGGCCATAAGCCAAAAATCACAACAATATCTAGAAGCTTGAAAAGGAGCCTCCAGAAGGAAATGCAACCTTGCTGACATCTTGATTTTAACCCTGTAAATCCCATTTTCAGAATTCTGGCCCCCAGAACCACAGCATAATAAATTTATGTTGTTTTAAGTCATTATATTTGTGGCAATTTGTCACAACAGCAATAGAAAATTACCGCAATCCATATTTAGATTGTTTTCAGATTTGGCTAAAGAACATTGCTACACAAACGGTTTTGGACACATATCCTGGTATAAAAACACATGCAAGAGTTTCTCCAGGTTGGGCCAGGCACAATGACTCACACCTGTAATCTTAGCACTTTGGGAGGTGGACACAGGAGAAGTGAGACCAGCCTGGGCAACATGGCGAAATCCTGTCTCTATAAAATTACAAAAATTAGCCAGGTCTGGTGGTGAGCATCTGTAGTCACAGCTACTCAAGAGGCTGAGGTGGGAGGATTACCTGAACCCAGGGGATTGAGGTTGCAGTGAGCCAAAATCACACCACTGGACTCCAGTCTGGGGAAAAGAGCCAGACCTTGTCTCAAAATTTAAAAAAAAAAGAGTTCCAGGTTATATGCTTAGGAATGGAACTGCTGTAAGTATATGTTCAGCTTTTTCAGGAAATGGCAAAATGATTTCCAAAACAGTTGTACCAATTTACCAGCCCCCCAACAATGAATGGGAGTTACTGTTGAGCCATATCCTCACAATTTTTTTTTTTTTGAGACAGAGTCTCCCTTTGTCACCCAAGCAAGAGTGCAGGGTCTCAGTCTTGGCTCACTACAACCTCCACTTCCTGGGTTCAAGTGATTCTCGTGCCTCAGCCTTCTGAGTAGCTGGGACTACAGGCACATGCCACCATGCTCAGCTAATTTTTGTATTTTTAGTAGACATGAGTTTCCCCATGTTGGCCAGGCTGGTCTCAAACTCCTGGCCTCCAGTGATTAGCCTGCCTCGGCCTCCCAAAGTGCTAGGATTATACATGTGAGCCACTGTGCCAGCCCATATCCTCACTAATATTTAACATTAATCAATGCTTTAATTTTTGCCAATCTATTTAGCATGAAAAGTTATCTTTTTTCTTATTTGCACGAATAAGGTACAATGTTCATATGTTTTACAAGACATTTATATTTCTTCTTGTGTAAAATGTCTATTTATATCTTTGATTCACTTTTCTGTTAAGTTATCTTCATACTGATCTGCAGAAATCAATACTGCTTCTTCCCTATTCTATTATTTTAGAACTCCAATTAGACATATTAGACATTCTCACTCTATTCTCCAGGTATCTTAAGTTCTCTTTAATATTTATTGTCCCATTGTCTCTCTAGATTTCATTCTGAATAATTTATTTGCATCTATCTTCCATTCACTTATTCATTAATTCAGCCTATTTAGTGAGGCCCAACATAACATTTGCACTGTTTTAAGTGCTGGAGATATAAAATTAGAAAAAAAAAAAAAAAAAAACAGACAAAAATCTCTGCCCTCAAGGAGTTTACATTCTCATAGGGAAAAGGGGGTGCAAAATGAATGAACAAGTACAGAATGTCAGATGGTAATAAAGTGATATAGAAGAAACCTAGGGACTGGAAACAGACTGCAGAACTGGGGCTGCTAACCATTTAAAACGGGACAGTTACAGAAGGTGTCAGTGACATTCTGGCGAGGAGTAAGACATGCAGGAATGGGGGGGACAGCATTCCAGGCACTGGGAGTGAGTGCAAAGATCCTAAGCAGTAAGC